AACAATGTAGATAGAAAGAGAGGAGAGAATCTATTTCTTCCATATATTCAAGTGTGTACAATGTGATGCCCAAACCCTCTATTTATAGGATGATATAGGTAATACAAAGGGACTCCATAAACATGGTATTAACTATTGAGAACATGGGGGAAGATCATGGAGGTGTGGGAGTTACATCCATAATGGTAAGAAGTAGTGGGGGTTATCTACATAATGGAGAAGAGTAGTGGGAGTTATATCTGATTAGTGGACATCCATATAAATATGTATTTCATAACATTGGAGTTAATTTTCACCATTTTGATATTTATACCATTTTAGTATAAAAATTATACTTAAGGTTGGAGATGCCCTACACTAAAGGAAAATTAAGGTGTCATGGATATGAAGCAATGCAAACAAAATCAAGTGAAATCTGTCCAAAAATGTCAGAAAGGTAGAGACTTATCACCAAATCAAGTTAATATATTATTTGTCATCATCGACTTTTCATCAGTCAATTTGTTTATACTGCTCTTAAGAAGATACTTATAAGCTTCTTTTTTAGATTAAATTCAGAATTTAAGTTTTTCCCATTACCCGAATCTATCACAGGGAGCTTATCTGTATTAAGTTTCTTTAGAATAGATTCTTTTTTAACTTTCTGACAGAGAAGTTGCATGGTGATGATATTAGGCAAGAAAAGGAGAAAAAACAGATTTATTAGATTTTGCTTGTCAACCTAAGCTCAATACATAATTATTTCTCCTACTTAAATTTCTATCGAGGTTTGATATTTTAATTTTTGTATACGGTCAAAATTGGGCTTGCCCTTTTTGTGCGACTGATCGAGGCTGGAGCAAGATAAGTCAAGGATCAGCTTCGATTTATATCAAACTATGGTGCAGAGTTAGGTTGTCAAGCTCGAGACCCTGAGACCGATTAAGATCGAGACCCTAAGACCGATTAAGATCGAGACCGACCAAAAACGAGATCGACCAAGATCGGGACCGAATAAGATGAAGATCGAGGGAAGCTTACTGGGTTGAATAACGAAAAGACAAAATATCCTCAATCGGGCGAGGATCACGGTGCAAATCCCAGCACGTATCAAGAAGAGGCCGATTAATTAGCCAATAATGGGATTTCTTATTATATTTTGAATTGTACCAAGAGTAAAAATCATCTACTATATAAAGGGGGTCTGATCATTTGTAAAGATCGTCATATTCATGTTACATAAAGTAATATAGCATCTTCTTAAGCTCTCAATACTCTGTTATTCTGTTCATACTTTTCAGTAAAATACATGTTTGATTCGAAGGCGATCTAGCTCGAGGATCAAAGCTATACATCTCATTTGATTTGCTTTATTTTTAGTTAATTTCAATATCAATTTACGTTTTCTCTTAATTTGTGCCAAGTAAAATCACATGTTCTTAAAACCACAGTATAAATTCAATCGTTATTTGTTTTTAGAGTAAATAATTTTTTATTTGAATTACTTCTTTCAAGTTATTATATAAATTCTCAACTTGAGTTTCTCTGTGCGGCATTCTATCGACAATGTAAGTTTTAACATCTCCCCTCCCTACCCCCCCCCTCCCCCCCCAAATTAATGTTAAAATTGTCTTCTTGTGACCTATAAGTCAGGGGTTCGAGCCGTGAAATTAACCACTAATGCTTGTATTAGGTTAGGTTGTCCCACATCTTTTGGGATGTGGATCTTTCCGAACCCTACATGAATGCGAGATACCTTGTACATCGAATCGTTCTTTTTCTTATAAAAAGTACGATGACATAATGCTGTGATTCTCTTAGAAGTGCCATGCCCAGTCTTGGCCCTCTGAAATGAATCGACTTATTTATGGTGTATTTCCTTTTTGTTGTAGAAAGTGGCTTTCTAGTCTTTATTACTCTTGTGTTTACTTACCTGTTTAGTTCGAAGGTTGTTTACCTCGAAAATACGAGTAACAATTAAATTTAATTATGGTTTTAAAGATATGTGATTTAGTTCAATACTAATTAATAATCAAGAAGTATAACGTATAAATGAAAGTAATAAGTAAATCAAACCAGTGTGCAAGACAGTCTCGACCTCGAGCTAGGTGCCTCGAGGTTGATTAAGAACAGTAAAATAAGAACAATCAAGTAAAAGGACGATTCTGATGAAATATGATCCAGAAAGTAAGAGAGTATATTCTTTGCCAATGATTGATGATGTTTGCAAATGATTGGGGTCCCCTTTATATAATGGGGAACCCTAAATAAGGTACATTTCTATTTACAGTAAGGAATCTTATTGGGACAGCTGTCTAACCACCTAGTACGGATTAGTACTAACTCGTACAAATCTATTCCGGAATTTAAACCATGATCTTGGGACATGACAGGGATCTTGTTCATTCTGTTATAACGGCACCATCTCGGGGTTGAGCATACTCGAAGCATACTCGACTTCGATACTCATCGCGTACTTCGATCCTCGGGCCTTGTACTCTTTAGTCGAGCTCGAGCCTGGTCCATCGAGCTCGAACTCGATCCATCCTGAACTCGAGCTTAAGGCGACCCCTCGAGCCCGAAAAATCGGGCATACCTGATTTTGACCGTAGACAAAGGTCTTCAAAAAATTATCTTCCAACATGAATTGTTTATCCGAGATATGTAACTCTTTTTAGTCAAAGTTAAATTGAATGTGTAAATAATTTTCTTGTTCCAAAGGTGTTTCACAGGAATTTGATCCTAAGTTCGAGGTAAATTATATATTCTTCCTTAATAATATTATTTATTTCCTCTATTTTAATTTATGTGGCAATATCGCAATTTGAGGGATTTACGAAGTTGTTTTTTGATCATATTTTTTAAAATATTTTATAAATATGTTGAATTATAAATTATACTCCCTCCATTCCAATTTATGTGAAGCTGTTTGACTGAGCATTTAAGAAAAAATAAAGACTTTTAGAAGTTGTGGTCCTAAACAAGTCAAAAAGGGCTCTAAGAGTATTTGTGTGGTTATAAAAACTTCTCACTAAGGGTAAAATTGAAAGTTTAAGCTAAATTGTGTCCAAATTTAGAAAGGGGTCATTCTTTTTGGAACGGACCAAAAAGAAAATAGGTTCACATAAACTGGAATAGAAGAAGTAATATTTTATAATACTTTTATATTACTTTTAAATATGTAAATTCTACTTCCAGAAACTTGAAGAATCTATGCTAGCGTTTGGCCATAGATTTCCAAATTAATTTTTAAAAACTTGATTTAGGTAAAGTTTGGTTTGAAGATGAAAATCTGTTTGGACATAATTTTTCAAAACAAATTTTACTTTTTTTTTTTAAAACACATGAAATGTGACTTACACCTATACGTTCTAAAAATTATCAAAAATACCCAACAATAACAAACAAACAAACTTGATAATCCTGTATTTGCAGAACCTTCATCAATGCCATTCGTTATCATTATCACAAACCATAATCCTGAGCATAGACAAGTTTGGCACAAAATTATCACTTTTATAATGAACTACATAATCAACTATTCTAAAACCATAACCTGATATTTTAATATCAACTGCTAATAACACAATAGTTCGTCAAATTGCAATAATATTACAAGATAAATCAGCCCAAAAGAAAAATATACTCTCTCTGTTTCAATTTATGTGAACCTATTTCCTTTTTAATCTGTGTCAAAAAGAATGACCCATTTCCCTATTTGAAAATAATTTACCCTTATGCAATGATTTATAACCACACAAAATATATGTGTCTCATTTTACACCACAAGTTTAAAAGTCTTTTCTCTTTTCTTAAATTCCATACCCGATCAACTGGGTTCACATAAATTGAAACGGGGAGTACTAATTAGCTGGTGGATTAGTTAGGTCATAATTTTTATAAAATATAAAAATTTGGGGATAATTTTTGAAATTGTTAAAAAAATCCAACAGTTATATTTTGGGCCAAAAATGGGTCTAGAGCTAGTTTGAGATTTGGAAAATTTTGTTTTCAAAATCTATCAAAACGTGGATAAAATCTATAAACAAACATATTTTGCAAAAAAAAAAAAAAAAAAAAAAAAAAAAAAATTGAAATTAACTTGACAAACTCTATGACCAAACGGGGGTTATATCTAATTTTACGGTCCAAGTTAAGAATTTTATCCTTGTACTCCGAGTTGTATGGATCGGAGAAAGTATTTCATTGAAAAAATGAGGAAGAGATCATACTTTCCTCGGTCCTTTCGACATTTTGTTTTAGTTTGGTGTGATATGATATATGAAAATAAATGACATCATGTAACTACTTTAAAGGCTGATATTTAGAAATTAGTTAATGCATTTTAAATTTCAGTTTTTGGATTATATTTTTGGAGATACAATTATCATAAGTTGTTCTAAAATTAAGATATTTAGTTCAAATCGAATAAATAAATACTAACTAATCCCTAACAGCTTGTTTGGATGGTCGTTACATATTGTTTCATAATGTATCGTATCGTATTGTATTGTACTGTACTGCATCGTTTGATGAATACAATGTTTGGATGGATTGTGTCGTTTTGTCGTCGTTTCATGGTATCACGCACTAGTAATATAATGAATAAACTTGCAATATTATAAAGAAAAATTATGATACGGTATATAAAAAAGGTAGGGTAAATGATAAAATAAAATTATTTAATAATAATGAAGGGTGAGATTGAGAGAAAAAGACAAGGTAACGATGCGACCACACCAAATCGGTCGTTACATAAAATGGCACATTTCATCGTTACGTAACGACTGATTTAACGATACGATACAATAAAATTTAAGTAACAATTAAAATAAACATTATATTTAAGGTAACAACAGCTGTAAGTAGTGACTTGGTTACACGGATGACGCACCGAGTTGTCAACTCGTTTAAGCTTACCACGACGTGTTGACTTGTGCTACACCAAATACGAAATTACCATGATACAGCCCTTCGTTCCCTTAAAACAAAGTTAATTATCTTTAAACCAACCCTTTATATATATATATTTCCATAGCCACCATTGTTCCTTCACCAATACACGAAAAATTGACAATACTACTTCATCAATATTCGTAATCGAGCTAGTTCTAATTTATTTCATGGATCCAACACAAGCCAGAACTACCTCCGGAGCCAGCCATTCGTCGTCCCATAAGCCCAACAGCCACCCAAAACCATCCAAATCTGAGCTGATGTCCAGCGCTAAGCTAGTTGCCGACGCGGCCAAAGCAAAACTCCATCACGAGCCAAACAGTAAGGTCGACAAGTCTGAGCTCGCCGGAGCCGCCGCTGACCTACTTAACGCCGCCTCACAGTATGGCAAACTAGAAGAGAAAGGCATCGGCAAATTCGTCGGAAAAGCAGAGACTTATCTCCACAAATACGAAACTTCTCATTCCACCACCACAACCACCACCACTACTGGAACAACCACCACCACCTCCACGACTGAACACACGCAGTCCTCGGCGCATACAGGGGGAAAACACGAACAATCTGGAAGTGGGTATGGCGAGTACATTAAAATGGCTGAAGGAATTTTCAAGAAACATTCCGATGGCACCCACTCATCGGAATCCGGCGGAGGTAAAAAAGGAGAGTATCTTAAAATCGCTGGAGATTTCTTGAAGAAGCATTGACTTGTACTATGTGAATTCCTTTTTATCATTTGTTTTAGAACTTTTTGCTGCAGTTCTACTATTGTTATATATCAGTGGATAGGTGTGATTTGTAATGTGTGGCCTAGGCTGCATTGCCGATGGTGCTAGCCAATGAAAATAATTTTGTTTTAACATGTTAAAACTGTCATGTCATTTACATAATTGTTTTTTATTTACTAAAATTGGTCCTATTAACATTCATTTCCTGCCATAATATGTCTCAAGGGAATGTAGTAATGCGATAATAACAATTGTGCCTCGATCAGAAAATATAGTTTGTTTATTTATTCTTTTCCAACAAAAGAAGTCAAGTGACTCAGTTTTCTTGAATCTTTTGCCTGCACAAAAGTTAGAGATATCTTCCAAATGTTAATGTTGTACATTATTTAAGGCTTTCTTGTAATTGAACTTTCTTAATAGCATAAACATGTTGGTGGCATTTTTCCAGTTGATCTGATTTTATTTGCTTTCTCTTTCACCTTGAACTCTTCATTTTCTTGGTTTTTCTCTGCTTGTGATTTGGCCCCTCCTGCTATGTGTTCAATCCTTCCAATATCACTGTAGAAACTGTCCCTTGCTTTCGCCCTTCGCTTGTCTAATTGTGCCTGTCATTCCATTTAGCATACAGTTAGCAAATGAACAAGATTCAGCAGATCATATAGAACAAATTGGAGATAAAACCAACCTCAGTTTGCTCTAAATGGCGCTTTGCCTTTTTCTTCTTTTTAGTCTCCCAGTCATGTATTACTTTCTTGAGCTTCTCATACCTGAAATTTCTCTTATTAGTTATAGGACAACATTTTGGTCAAGCCTAACGTAGAACCACAACATAGTTGTCAATAAGCACACATACCGTTCTTTGATCTTTTTCATCTCTTCTTTCTCCCAAATATCCGCTTTAGAATTTCCAGTTCCTGGCTTTGCTGTAATTGGTCCTTTTGCCATCGCTAGTTGAGACGTAGATTGTCTAGTTGGCGGTAAGGCAAGCTCAGGCGCCATAGTCTCTGGCGTTTTAGGAGTTGTGATGTCAATGTTCTTATCTGCAAATGTGGAGTTCTTTTTGGTATCTGCAGAGGTTGCATTCTTCTTAAGGGATGGGACAGGGTTGGTACTTGGTTCTTTATTGACCGTTGCTGTCCGTATTACAACATTTTTGTCTTGAACTCTTGAACTTGATTTTGAAGCTTTGGCATCTGTTTATGAATATGGAGGAAATTATATAATATGTTATATATTAGAAGAAGAAAATCTAGAACTATTTCAAGCCTTGTTCTAATTACCTATGGATTTTTGAGGTCTCTCATCTGCTTTACTTTGTATCTTGCTTAAAGGTTTATCAGCTCCACTACTTGTCTTTGTTTGTTTTCTATTGCTCTTGTCTTCAATTGATTTTACAACAAATGCAGCTACAGCTACTGCAGTTGGGTAGTCAACACCATTATTCGAGTCGTGATCCCGATTCGTCTGTCTTGTGAACTGTCTTTCTAACCAGCTAACGGTTCTTTTTGTCTCTGCCAAAGAAAAGAAAATGAAAGGACTCATATAATTTTCGTTTGTGTTTTCAAATATTCTGATTCTGAAGAGCCCCACGACTTTAGTCTAGTAGAAAGAGCACAACACGTGATGTGGGGTTAGATATACATTTAAGGATTCAAACTCTTCCGCACACAAAAACATGATATTTAAGTGAAGAAGGAGAGATGGGCAGACCCATTATTCAACGAGTTTCGACTCGTGCCCTACTGGCTCTTAATCCTGTATTTGTTCGATGAGAAATGCGAGTCTGTTTTGTCCACTTTCTTCGTCCCCTAATTTATCAAAAAAGATTTAGAATTTGAAGATCCTATTTACTACATACCTTTTGACGTTTGTGCTTTCTGGTGTGGTATTCGTCTGCCTCTGTTGTTGCTGCCCCCATCTTTCTCTTCTTCCCCTTCAGCAGAGAAACTCACCCTAGAAGAAATTGTTAATTCTCATGGGGGAAAAAGGAACACAAAATATTCTTGATAACTATATTTTAAAGGAGGAAAAAGACAGAAGTTTATGATTTCCCTTACCTCATTGGCTTAAGCATATCCATCCTTTAGAATGGTAGCTTAGTTTGAAACTATTTGAACAGTGAATATCTGATTGCTGACTATTTGAAGAAGTATGATTTTGTTTGGATTCCTTCCTTCTTAATGGTTGATGCTTTTTCACGAAGAGGTTGTGATTCCTTTCCTGTGAACACTTTTTAGGTTTCCTTTCTACTTTGTACAGACTTCTATTTTCCAGGAAACTTGAACAGAATAATCTAAATATTCTCAGCAGTCCTTTTTCTCATTATGCAATCATAGGATATAAAGTGCCTTAATCAAAATTCCATCTAATGTATCAAACGAATCTTAGAATGTTGGATGACTAAAACATTGTAGCATGGCTTAAATTAAACTCCATCTGGATGAATTTCACAAATTATACAAGGATCACTGCCGGAAAATCAAAAGGGCTGTGGTAAGGAAAATATATAGGTTTACTGTAAACACGGGTGGCAAACGGACGGGTTGGGCAAGATGGGTTATGTTAATAAATGGTCATTGCCCAACCCAGCCCAAAGTGTACTTGGGCTAAGATGGGCTGGGTCAAAATGGGCTAAACAATGGGTCATAGTCCAACCCTAACTGTAACGAATCGTTATGTGTCTGTATAGATATGTGTTACACCATCATCTGGACTGATATTGAAGGATTTTGAATAACGCAAAATGAATAGAGATACTAAATGAGTCATGAATCGTAAGTCACTAGTTCAAGCTCTTTTTTTTCCCGTTCATTTTCTTTTTCCGCAACTTTACTTCCTCCGGTTCACAATAAGTATTCAATTTGCTTTTAGCACGCCCATTAAGAAAATACTAAATTCTATACAAAAATACCTACTATGACTAAACTACCCCTAATTAAACATTTAATGTGAGGAGTAAGAAAACTTTTTAGGGATATGTACATAGGGGTTATTTTATAAAAACAAATTGAATTCTTTCTTGATTACATAACTGGACACTTATTTTGAACCAAAATGAAAAAGCAAATTGGACACTTTTGTGAACCGGAAGGAGTATAAGACATGAAATTCTTGAACCAAAAAAAGAAATTCAGGACTCCCAAAAAATGCAAACGAAAACATGTTTAGTCCAAGATAAAGTGTCCATTTATACTTTGAAGATGATTTATAGGATTCATCCAAACTGGAAAAAAATCAGTTACTCAATAGGTAACACAAAAAGAAAAGGTGAACTCGAGATCCAAATGTTATCGTATATTTTATTTATGGAAAGCCACCTGCAGGTTGGCTGAATTCTTTATGTGGAAAAATGTGATCTCGTAATCTTCAAATTGTTATCATAATTTAATAAGAAATTATACAAAATATAATTGGTCAATCTTTTTGTGGAAGCACATTTCTTATTCTTTCCACGAGGTCCATTTTCTTTCAAGCTTGGTTTTGTCGAATCTTTAATGGAAAAAGAAAAAGAGATACACTAATAGAGAAAATTCCCCTAATGTTTGAGAAGAAACTTTTAGTTATTCAAATTGTACAAAATGACCCCAAGGGCTTTGGATCTTTGGTAAGAACGTAACGCATAATGTGTAGGTATTTAAGAACGCACGCTACAAGTTGGAACCTACGGTAGACAAAAGTTTGGTATTTAAAACACAGGAGTTAGCCTATTATTCATCGAGTTTCACACCACGCATCAGCTAATTTTTGGAATTTCTCGGTTCCCAAAATATTTTGTACAAAATGCATCGAGAAACCAAAAATATAATTCCAAAAACCAACAAATATATCAATTATGAGAAACATGTATTACATCTGCACTATAATCGTATTGATTATTGATAGTTTCCAAAAGTTCATGGATTCGAACCAATTGAGGGTGAGTTTTCTCTGCTGCAATAAATTCATGAACAACACCATTGATCTCAAGGGAGCTGCAACCTGGTACCTTGTCTATATATTGGCTTTTCATCTTCTTCCTTATCCTTCTTGCATTATCATGTTTACCTGCTGCAACATAAATATTCGAGAGTAGAACGTATGCTCCGCTATGCCTTTCTAACTGCACAATCCTCTCAGCAGCGGCCTCAGCTAAATCGACTAGTCCATGATTCCCAAAGGCGCTTAGTAATGCTCTCCAAGCTATTGCTTCTTCAGAAGGAACGCTCGACTTAGGCATGTTTTGGACTATGTTCTTTGCTTCCTCTAGCAGCCCGGCTTTACTGAGGACGTCGATAATGCATCCATAATGTTCAGATTTGGGCTCAATATGATACAAATTACACATCAGATTCAACATATTTAGACCTTCATTTGCCATGCCTGCATAACTACAAGCAGTAAACATTGAAACAAATGTAACATCATCCGGCCTAATCCCGGTACTTTGCATCTCATTGAACAACTGTAGGGCTTTTGAACCATTTCCATTCATAGCAAATCCTGATATCATAGCATTCCAACAAATAAGATCTCTTTGAGGCATTTCATCGAACAGTTCCTCCGCTATATCCAAGCAACCACATTTCGCATACATATCAATAAGAGCAGTGCCTAATTTAACACTCATTGACATTCTTAACTTCTCCACATATCTATGAATCCAAATTCCAATATCAAGAGAACCCAAATGAGCACAAGCAGAAAGTACACTAACAAAAATGGCTTCATCAGGATCAATCCCAGCCATTTGCATTTGCCTGAACAATTTTAACCCTTCTTTAAAACAATTATTTTGTACATAACCAGATATCATAGAGCCCCACACTCCTCTATCTTTCACTGGACATTCCTCAAAAGTTAATCTTGCTTCATAAACATCCCCTCTTTTAGCGTACCCAGAAATCAAAACAGTCCAAGACACAACACAATTGCAAGGAATCTCATAAAAAACCAATCTTGCAGCTTCCACATTGTCAATAGCAGTATACATAGCTATTAAAGTATTACCCACAAAAATATCAATCAAGAACCCCAATTTCAAGATTTCCCCATGAACCAATTCACCAAGATTACAACTTTTCAATCTGGCACAAGCTTTCAAGACATAAGGGAGGGTATAATTATCAGGGTACATTCCAATTTTCAACATATATTTGTATATCTCTATGGTTTTATTGAGCTCGCCCTTAAGCAAGAAAGCTTTGATCATTGTATTGAAAATGCAAATTGTGGGTTCTTGTATTTGTTCAAAGATTTTCCATCCATAAGTTGGACAACCAAAATTAGGGTGTGAACAAAAAGCCAACAGCCTGCTCAAGGCAAAGCTATTTTGCCCAAGTCCACATGTGATTACTTGGGCGTGTGATTGCTTGAGTTGTTTCATATTCCTGCATCTCTCTAGTAGGAAAAGGCATCTTTTTGTGCATATTGACATTAGCCTTTGCTAACTTTTCATTTACAGAAGAGGAAAGGCGTTTTATTGTAGCAGCATGTTCACTCTAATACTGCAAATGGTGCTAGAGTAAGAGATTAATGTACATATTTTAATAATTGTTTATAATTGTTAATATACATACGATTTGACTTTTTATAAGCAAGTACAAAATATTTTACACTATCAACTCTCATAACCAAGGCTTCATCACACTTTTGATAGTTCGGTATGGCTACGTTCGTTTCCAATTTAAAAAAGGAGGATAAGTTATGTTCATTCCTTAAATATTCTCTTCCGTTTATTTTATTTTATGTGATATTGTTTGACTAATCATAATGTTTAAGAAATAAATAACGTCTGTTGGTTTTTGTCGTATTAAATGTATGTTAAATTATTTTTATGGCTATAAAAGCATGACATTAAGGTAAAATGATAAATTTAAAATATTAAAATATATTATTATTTTTTCTAAATCATAATAAAAAATGTCACATAAAATAAAATAGAAGGAGTGGCAATAATGCCATACAGAAAAGGAGAAAAGAAAAAACCAAATCCATATTTGCTAAATCGGACTAGAGCCTTTTGGATTAGCTAATTGTAAATAAACTATAAGCTTTTAGTGGTGAAAAGTATTTTTAAGTGATGAAATTAATGTTATAAAGGCGAAATATATAAATGGTCCTCTTAAATTGTCTGTAACCACCAAATAAACGCCTCAACTAAGGCCTTTCAAAAATTTTCTCTTTTTTTTTTTTTTTCTGTAACTTAACTAACGGATTCCACTTATCCTCACTCTTTCTTCTACCTCCACCTCAAATCACTGTCTGCTACTATTTTCAACGCCTCAACTTTTACTATGACAAATTATCCACATATGAGAAAATGGATAAAAGGGCAAAGTGGTATGGCTTTGACAAAATGACATCAACCCCAAAAAAAAAAACATGAAGGGCTTATATCCAATATAAAAGAACTAGAAATTCAACATAAAGATGATTTTAGTTATGTATATTTTCTTTGGATTTTGGTCCCATGAATTTCAATTTGACAAAGAATTTAGTGTCAGAAATTACCGTCTCTTCTAGAGACTTCTAGTGTGGCCCACATATAAGGTAATAAATTATTTACCTTGTCTCCCAAAGGAAATAATATATCAGATAATATTCTGTAGTTATGCATATATAATAGTTTCTTTGATGGAAAGAAATTACCATATATTAGGAGTCCCTAGGGTAAGTATAATTTATGGAGAAGTCCCTAGGGCTAAAGTATTTGCCTAAGAGTCCCTAGCCTACCTATAAATATGCTTGTGACTCCATCAGTCTGGCATCCTACGATAGGCACAGGCTAGAAGGCTCTCTCAGTTTTTCACTAAAAGTTTCAAGGCGATTCCCTATAACGCTTGAGCAACAATGGCTGAAGATACGTTTTATATTTAATTCCGCTGCGTTGGCTCTGTATTTGTATTCGAATTTCAACATGTGGTATCAGAGCCTCCCATTAGCTATGTTGTTCAGTATTCGGAAAATTGTTGACGCAATATATGACTGTTCAAATTCTTGTATGACTGAATACATGAATCACTGTTCTGATGTTATACCATCTTGTCTACGCTTTTCGTTTAATAGTTCGAGTGCATTAAATAAAGGCTCGATATAACTTATACTCCATTATTGGTTATATATTTCACTGTTTTATGTTATATGATAAGTTTCTAGGCATCTCTGTTTTGTGTTCCACCCGTTTTTAATATTGGAATATTGTCGTCCCATTATTCTCTTGGTTTAGACTTCTTTGATTCGTTAATCACGATAGACCAAGATTATGTAATTGAACACGGAAGTCAACCGATGCTTTAACCCTTTGCGACATTCTTGATCTGCTATTGGGAATTTTAATAAGATCTAAGAATTGTTTTCTATGCAAACACCTTTTTTAACCATTAAGCAATCGAACTTTGGCCAGAAAAGTCTTGAAACTTGTTTTAAGTGTAGTCTTATTTAGCTATGTGGATCAATTTATTTTCTTTATGGGTCATGCTTAGTTCTTAAAAGCGATAATCATGGAAGTGTTACTTTTCTAGTGTAACGATCCGACCAGTCGTTTTGAGCTCTAGCGCGCCGTTCAGCAGTGTGAGGCCACGAGCAGCTTCATTTCAGGTATTATGACTTGTACGCATGGTCGGAATTGAATTCCGGGAAGTTCGGAGTTGATTTGGAAAGATAATTCTCATTTCGGAAGCTTTAAGTTGAAAGAATTGGCTAAGATTGGATTTTTGAGTAAACAACCTCGGAATCGGGATTCGAAGGTTCCAGCAGGTTCGTATGATGATTTCGGACTTGGGCGTATGTCCGGATCAGGTTTTGGAAGACCCGGGAACGTTTTGGCACCTATTGTGGAAGTTAGCATTTTTGGAAGAATTTCATAAGTTTGGGTGAATGTGCATTTCAGTGTTATCAATGTCCGCTTGGGATTTCGAGTCTGGGAATAGCTCCATATAGTGATTCTGGTGTTGGGAGCGCAATCGGAAGTGAATTCGGAGGTCCGTGGGTCATTTTGGAGTCATTTGGCCAAAGATAGAAGTTTGAAGGTTTTTGAGAAGTTTGACTGGAAGTGGACTTTATTGATATCGGGGTCGGATTCCAATTCCGGAAGTTGGAGTAGGTCCGTAATGTCGAATGTGACTTGTGTGCAAAATTTAAGGTCAATTGGACGTGATTTGATAGGTTTTAACATCGAATGTAGAAGTTTGAAGTTCTAAAGTTCATAAAGTCCGAATTGGGGTGTGATTCGTGAATTCGGCGTTGTTTGATGTGATTTGAGGACTTGGGCCGCAGATGCGATTTTGGGCTGAAGGTGAAGGACCGCAGATGTGGTCATCTCGCCGCAGAAGCGGGACCGCACCTGCGGGTGTTGAGGCGCAGAAGCGGAAAGGGGAGCCCGGAGAGAAACCGCAGGAGCGGTAGAGGGGCCGCACCTGCGGAACCGCATAAGCGATCATGTGACCGCAGGTGCGGTATTGCTGGAGGCAGTAAGGTTCTTTAAAATCGGGGGTCTTGGCCATTTTCCTCCATTTTTACTCTAGTTGGGCGATTTTTGGAGAGCTCCAAGAGAGGGATTTCATCATTCAAACATGAGGTAAGTTAATTTCACCCCTTGTAAGTTAAATATATGGTTTTGTTATGGATTTGAGCATGAAAATTGGTAGAAACTTGGGGTTTGAGGGAAAACCTAGAAAATTGATATTCTCGGATTTTGACCACGGTTTTGGGTATGAAATTAAGAGTAAATTATATATTTGAGTTCGTGAGGTTATGAGCAAACGTTATCTTCGAAAAATTTCGGAATCCGGGCACGTGGGCCCAAGGGCATTTTTTTCAACTTTTCGATCGGGGTTAGGAATTGTCACAAATTGGATCATTAGGAGTAATTGAACGTATATTAATGATTTTGCATAATTGTTGGCTAGTTTTGGAGCATTGTGCATCGATTCGAGTCTTCGGAAGGGCGTGAAATGCCGGTTATGGAACTTCGAAGCGAGGTGAGTCTCCTTTCTAACCTTGTAAGAGGGAATTGTCCCCATAGGTGAATTAATTGGATTTGTGCTCCTATTTGCGGGGGCTACGTACGCACGAGGTGACGAGAGTCCGTGCGTAGCCACTATTATGTTTAAGTCCGGGTAGTTTAGGATCCAAAAGTATGCTATACTTGGAATATTTGTGATCTTGTTGATAGTTGAACTGCTTAAATCACGTCGAATCAGTAAATAAATTTCTAGAAAAGGATTAAACTTCATTTTCCTGAATTGTCAAAAGAGAATTGGCTTTTCCTTGGATAATTGTTCTCTGATGAATTCTTGATTTGATTGATTGTTGTGTTTATTTATATTTGACTGCGTCGTATGTATGATTTGCGAGTGGGGTAATAGATGCATCTATGGTTCGCGCCATTCGACCCTCTAGTAGTGCACAGTTTAAATATTATTGGATCGGACCGTACGACCTCGGCATGATTTGCGCATGCTTGTATAGCTTGCCGTGAGATTTATAGATGTTGATAATTGTTCTCCCTGTCCTGAGATAAATGCTTAAATGATGGAATTGAATCTGGAAATTTCCTATTAATAAAAGAACTGTTTATTTGCCTCATGCTATAGAGTTAAAGTCATTTTATGAATATTCACGACTCACTACATTATTGGTATATTATTATTGGACCATTAGTAAGTGTCGAAGCCGCCATCTCGTCTCTGCTTCTTCGAGATAATACTTACTAAGTACACGTTGTTTTCGTACTCATACTACACTTGCTGTGCATTTTTGTTGCACAGGCACATGCATCTCCAGCGGCCTAGTGGGCATAGCGGCATGGTTGATACGGAGACTTAGGTGAGCTGCACTTCTCGAGGTGACCCGCAGCCAGCAGAGTCTCTTTCAGATTACTTTATTTAATTCTGTCCACCTTGTATCCTGGACAGTTACTGTATTTTAAATTCATTCCTAGTAGATGCTCATGCACTTGTGACACCGGGTTCTGGGATGTTTATGGGGTATCTTGATTGACTTTCTTGAATTTCATATTTAATTTGAAATGAGTATCCTCTGCTAGTAAAATTGAAGGAAAATTCGAGTTTTCACGATTATTTAAGTGAGAATTTAGTTAAGAAATTTTGGTTGGCTTGCCTGACAGCAGTGTCCAGCGCCATCACGATCCTTAGTGGATTTTGGGTCGTGACAGCAGATACGTGTCGTTTCTGTAACAAGAAAAGACACTTTCAGAAAGATTGCTTGAAACATAAAGCTTGATTCAAATAGAAAGGTACAATTATTGATTTTATATGTTTCGAATCAAATTTAGTAGAAGTTCCTAATAATACTTGGTGGCTTGATTCTGGTGCAACTGCTTATGTATCTACTACGTTGCAGGGATTCCTTACGATCCAAATAAGGATTTCTTGTCCATGGGAAATTGTATGAAGGCTCCAATCGAAGACATAGGAACTTATCGTTTGATCATGGAGACTGGATGTCATCTTGATCTATTAT